CTAATAAATCGCTCCACCAAGATTTATTAGAGATCGTGTAAAGGTCATACAATAGAAAATTCGAAGCGCGATAGTGAGCAGCGCGGTCTTTCCGGGCGGAGGTCGCAGGTTCGATTCCTTCTCCTTGCGTTAATAGGAGATTTCTTTTTGGCTCCAGGCGCGCGGGCTTTCTGGCCCGCAACAGCCCGCGCGCGGCCTGATCTTCCTCTCAGCTGGCAGCCCGCGCCAGGCCCGCGCTCATCTCAGATCCCAACCCGCGAGCGGCTCGACCAAGCCCGCGAGCAGCCCAGCGTCTTCTGGCCCATTGTACACAGCCCAGCGCATTGTGCGCGGCCCTGATGAACTTCACTCTAGCCCGCGCGCAAACAGCAGCCCAACATCACTTTGCGCGGCCCAGTCCTTGTTGCGCGGCCCACCTGCCTTCATATCCGCGACCCAAATTGCACCAGCATGGCCCAGCGAGCTTGGTTCCAGCCCAGATGCGCTCCAACCGGTCCATGAAGCTCCAGAACGGTCCAGCAGCGTGCCAACGCAGTTAAGACCGGCCCAAACCTGTCCAGCTCACCTTAAACCGGTTCAACTTGGTCCAGAAGCTCCGGTTCATGTCCAAGATGGTTCTCGAGTGGTCTGAGGAGTTCGATTCACTTACCAACGGTCCGAGACGATCCGATGAGCTTGATGAGCGATTGAAGTACCATGGTGACTCGATTAGAATCGAGAAAGGCCAAGTCTAGCTGCCCATTAGACTTTGGTGTTCAGACGATCTCCATCAACGAAAATCAGAAACGTCTCAGAGTCGGCAAAAATTTTAAACCGTAAGTCCTAATCCTAACTATAGATTCCGCTGCGCTAAGATTTATTATTCAATAGATTTGAATGTGCACATTGTCGACGTTCCTAATAGAACCCAACACGATCATGATATTGATATTATAATTTTTGTTTACTTTATTATGGGTTTTTGCGGAGTACAGTGGATTAGTACTCACGCCCCACTATTATCATTTTCAGGTAACAGAGTCGGTGCGGAGGTGTGAGATCAGCTGTGGTGGTGTTGGTCGTGAATTTGGTTCAATTTCTATTATGGACTTTTAATAAGGTTTCAGTTTGTATAATTATTATGCCACGCTTGCAAGATTTCCGCTACGTTTTCAGATTCGAACATGTGTGACAGTAATTTCAGACTTATATAATTTATCTGTTCGCCAGTATGAACAGGTCCAGTTTACATACTTGTTTGATATT